TTTCAACACAAAGTACAAAAAGCAGAGGTGAGATCGGGTCTCCTTGCATAAGCCCTCGGGAGGGATTAAACCAATCTGAGCATCTGCCGTTAAAAGAGACAGCCAGCCTAGAGGATGATACACACTGCATGATGTTCTTAATCCAATCCTGGTTGAAACCAATTTCTTGCAGCGTCGATCTGATGAAGCCCCAAGATAATCTGTCAAAGGCTTTTTCAAGATCAACTTTTACCAGCATCCAACCAATGCTGCCTGATTCAGGAGATGTTACTTTAGGGATCAGAGAGATTATCGTATCACTACTTCATTCTGGCAACACACGATTGCTGAAGAACTCCATGACATAATCAACCATATTTTGGCCAAGCACATGCCAAGCATGTTGATAGAATCCCGCATGGTAACCATCCGATCCGGGAGATTTAAAGGGTGACATGTCGAATACTGCCTTCTTCACTTCCTCAAAACTAACTGGTCGGTTAAGGCATTGCTAGTCAGATTCCTTAAGACTGGGAAAGTTTCCTATGAAATCAACATTCACTGGACAGGAGGGATCCGCTGTAAATAGCATCTTTAAAAACTGACTAACATGATCAAGTGCCGCTTCTTCGTTGGGGAAGGGATTCCCTTGGTCATCTTTCAGAGAGTTGGTTGATGATCTCGATTTATTCACGGCTATAGCAGTGTGGTAGAACTTCGTATTACGATCACCCGAAGAAATCCAATCCTCTCGAGACCTTTGAAACCAAAGCATTTCCTCTTGATGCAAAATCAATTCGTACTCATCACGGAGTTTTCTCCCCAATCTGATGAGATCAGACCTAGCGTTAGTTGCTAGACCACGTTGAACACCATTTAGCCTTGCAATGACCCGCTTTTTTCGCTGGAAAAGGTTGCCAAAAGTGTCACGATTCCAGGACTCAAAATTTTGTGCTAGTTGTCTCTTATTAGCCTCAATCCCAAATGCAGGGTCCCAGCCATCTTTCACCATGTTCAGGTAGTTTGGGTGGGTGGTCCACATTGCATTGAACCTGAATTTCTTAACATTGTTCCCATTAGTTCTGACAGTAGTTCTCAGCAGAAGAGAAGTATGGTCGGAACTAATCATTCGCAGGTGAATGATCTCGGCATCTGGGAATCTAGATTTCTATCCAATGTTGCAGAGTGCGTGGTCTAGCTGAGCACCTTTGAAGGAGGAGGACTCAAGTCCCCTACACCAAGTGAGATTTGCTCCTATGAAACCCAAATCAATGAGGCCTTCTCTGAAAATCCAATTGCCGAAGTCTGCACAACGAGTAGAGGAAAAAGAGTTATTTTTTGATACTTCATCTTTATTTAGGACTGCATTGTAGTCCCCCATGGAAAGCCAATCCCCGTGAAAATTTATAGAGTCCTAGGAAAGAGTGGCAAAGAGCTCCCTTCTGAGGGAATAGTCTGGACTACCATAGACAAGTGATAGGAACCAATGCTGCTCATTCAGATGTGAGACCCTGCAACATGAACTGGGGATGGGTGATGTGGATGTCTACCATAGTGGTGACTTTCTAGAACACCCAAATGCCCCCGGAGAAGCCAAATGCTTCATCCTAGCCCATTCATCGAAACCGATGGAAACGCAAATTTTATCAGCATGTTCGCCTGACACCCTTGGTTCAAAGAGACAAAGGATGTCAGGCTTGTGATCTCGAATTAATTGTTTAAGGGTGCGGTGAAACTTTCGTGACGCCGCACCTTGGCAATTCCATGAGAGTACTATCATAAAAACAAAGTTGAGAAAAAGAAGCATGCTCAAAAGAGCATGCGAGGATCCCCCTGAGAGCCAAAGTTGGCCGCGCCCTGGTTATCTTCTTCCATCGTGTCCTTTGGTGTATCACAATCAAAGAAAACTCCCCCCTCTTATGGAGGGACGTTCAAGATCGGGGCAGTAGTGTGGTGAGGTGATCCTAGCTCCGGGGGTCTAGGACTGTGATGAACAATGGATCTGATAATGCCCCCCCTAGAGGAACTGCGGACGAGTACATGTTCTTCCTCTGCAGCAGCTCGTCTTGGTGTACTGGTTCTGCTCCCTCGACCTCTAGGGGTGGTGTAGTGTGGAGATCTGACATCTTTTGGTTGGAAGTCTGGTTGAAAGCTTGATTCAGGTTCCTTGTTGCTAATACGAACTCGGGGATGGGTTGTCACAGGGGCCATTGTCTGAAGATTCGGGGATCTAGGCGGGCTAGCTTGATTATCCATGACCACATCATCGGCCAAGTCGTTCAGTGGTGCAAATCGGGTAATGAGCGGGATGTTGTGGGAGACGAGTTTGGGGTCAGGATGTAACACCCCGTGTTATGGCCTTTAATCCTGAATTAATTATTTAATTAATCCCGTTAATAATAATTAAAAAGGATTTAATTTGGTTAGGATTCCCTTTAATTAATTAATATGGTCCACCATGGACCATGGACCATGGAGCCTTATCCCTAAACCAAGCTCTTAGTCCTATAAGGAATAGAATTAGTAAACCCATACCATTCAAACCCTAATTAGGACTCCTAGATATATATATATATATATATATATATATATATATATATATATATATATATATATATATATATATATACATATACATATATAAGGACATAGGAGGCACCTAGAAGTCACACCACAATAGATATCACCACACAAGAATTCCCAAGGGACTCCCCACCACCAAGCCTAGGGAGATCAAACGGATAGAAATCTTAGGGAAGAACCTTAATAGCCAAGGGGGGATTAATTAAGGCAAAGAGGTAACCCATGTCTCAACAAAACCTATTTTCCTTGCTATAATCTCCTTCTTTGGCTCCCTCTATATGTTTGTGTCTTGATGAATTCTTTTATGTTATTCATGATATAATCCTGTTGATTGATGTGATGATTTTATGTGCGATCTTGATGATCTTGATGTTGAAAAGAAGTTCTTGATATTTATGTGATGATTCTTGATGAAATCTTGATGTTTCTTGATGATAGAGATAAAATATGATTTTGATGAATTGGATGGGATTATAGCCCTAGGTTGGTTTGGGAATTTGTATTGTGATGTTCTTGATTTATATTTGGGTGGGAATTGGCATGTTCGGGTGTTGTTCGTGTCTAGAAGTCATGTTAGGATGTGTTCAATATGATTCTTGCTTTCAATCCATTAATTGCCTATGTGGTGTCGTTAATTGCGTTTAAAAGTGTCTAAGCATGGTTTCGGGTTCCACAAAGGATCCCGGGACGTTTATTGAGTTAAAGAGTCAGTGGGGGGTAGGTGGGGGTAGGGGTACCCGCCACCTACCCGCTGCCCGAGATTTACCGCCAGGCAGCGGGCAGCCGGCAGGCAAACGTTTGCCCGCCGGCCACCCGCTGCCCGGAAGTTCATCACCGGCGGGCAGCCGGCGGGTGACCCCCACCCACCGGTTACCCGCTGGTCCGTTACCCACCCCGGGTCCTCGGCTTCCCCATTTGATGTTCCCCATTCCCCGTGGTGTCCCAACGGACCCCGTTTGTCGTGCTTGAGTCTAGTTTGATGTTTCGGGTGCCATTCGTATAGTAGGATAAAAGAGTCTTAGGAATTGCATAAAAGAGTCTCAGGAATTAACCCGTTGGCCTAGGAGGAGAATGCATGAACCCCTTAGGGATACTCTTAGTATGTGAATGATCACACGTAAGTTTATTTATACACCTCCACCTCCCCAATGTGCTATTATGTGCTACAATGTGTTATGTGATGCATGATTCCCCAATTTGGTTGCAATCAAATTGGCTATACGGGCAGTTGGATGGGTTGAGAACCATACCAACTGTTAACCAGGCCGGTTGCGATCAGTCAGGTATATAAATATTATATAGGGCTGCGGTCCACTGTTTGGTTGCGATCAAAACGTTATACATGAGCTGCGGTTCATTCTCCTGGCTGCGGTCAGTGATTCACTTCTTGGGCTGCGGTCCACATAGGCCTCGTATGCTATAACCCACCGAACTGGACGCGCCAGGCGGTGTGTAGGGCCAATAAGCCCGAGGAAGGCTGTAGTCCACCGAATGAGCAATCAGGCGGTGTGTAGGGCTACGGCTGGCTGCGATCCATCGAGTGATGGGCCAGCGGTGTGTAGGGTCATAGTCTCCGAGGATCATCGCCCACCGACTGAGTCGCTCAGCGGTGTGTAGGGCTTGATCCGCTACGATCCACCGATTGTGCTCGTCAACGGTGTGTAGGATCATAGTCCCCCCTTGTAAAGAGGATCACAGTCCACCGACTGAGCGCGTCAGCGGTGTGTAGGACTGTGGTCCGCCGCTGAGTTCGTCAGCGGTCTATAGGGTTGGTTGCGATCAACTCCCTTCATGCTGCGGTATGAGGTAGGGTGCTGCGGGGCCGTGTTAGTGCTATATGCACTAACCCTCATGTTCGGGGCATGCGATTGGTCCCGTGGTGCCACCAAAGTGTGCTTGTGTGATATGAATGATGATTGGATGATGATATGATTGATTTGAAAGTGATCTGTTACCTTAGATGCGTATTCTTTATGATGATTGTCTCTACTTAACTGTTATCATTGATTATTGTGCTTGCCCCTATTTGCTGAGTTTATTCCTAGTTTTAAAGCTAGAGTCTCCTAAGTATATATCTTCCTGCTTCAAAATGGTTTTCATATATCTATATATATAACTACCTATATTGTATTTCAACGCGTTGGAGTGGGTTACCAGCATCATTCGCTGAACAGATATATTTGGCTTTCAGACACAGATGAGTAGATCCCGGAGCGCGCTAGAGATCTGGAGCGTAGATTAGTTAGTTTCCCTTTCGGCCTGCGTGCCATGATTATGTATTGACTTTGCTTTGAGGATATTTAGTTAGTTTAGCCTGTGCATCTGAGTTCTCTAGCTCAGATGTGGCATAGCACCCCGCACTCTTATGTTTGATTTTGGGATTTAATGAGAATTCACCTTCGTTATATAAGTTTTAAAAGTTTCAAAATTTTGGGGTGTTACACGGGATCTCGAGGTTGATCTGGGGCCGTCCTCAAATCTTGGACAGGTCTCCTCTCAGGTTTCTTTGGATTCCTTCGTTCCTTGCGTTTGACAATCATCCACGAGCCATATTTGTCAGTGTAGGGACTAGGCGTGTTTCTTGTTTTCTGCTGAGCATTCTCTGTTTCCATCTCTGCAGCCTCTGCTGCCTCAGGCAAATTTGGAGGATCAAGGGTCTTCCCATCAAGGCCACAGAGTTCTTTCTTGTGGCCATATAATCCACACTTGAAGCATATCATGTGGATGCCTTCATATTCAACAGGGTATACTTCATCCGCCAGAGTGAACTTAGATCGCAATGGTTTCGAGATATCGATCTCAACGCAGACACGAGCAAACTTTCCTCTTGACGCTAAGCATGTTGTCACATCCACTTTGATTGGTCTTCCCAGTTGGCGACCAATCTTCATGAGGAATTCGTCCTCGAAGTATTCTATTGGCAAAGTTGGTAGGCGGATCCATGCTAAGAGCTTTCTTGTTACGTTAGACGTGGGATTGAAGTTGGGTTCCCATTCTTGGACGATCAAATAGTGGTCTAGCAACATCCAAGGACCTCCCAACTTGACGTGATCGTAGTCGTTTTGAGACTCAAATTTCGCTAGGTAGTATCCATGAACAAGGTCAATCAGGTCCAAGGAGGATTCAAGTTTCCAGAGTGTTTGCAGGCGCCGGAGAAGGAGGTTATAGCCTACTGGTCTCCCAAGAAGATGAATGATAAGAGTTTTGCGCCACGGGCGTCTTAGCCTCTTCTTTTCCTCTTTAGTCACCAAGATTCTTGGACAGTCAGGGTCATCGTTGGGCTGTTCCATCGGCGCGTCCAGTGGTGTTTCCGGAACGAAGTCCGGCAAGGTGTCAACGGCGATAAGGTCTGGTAGTCGATCATCACGTTTGGTCTTTTTCGGATTGCGTTCAAGGACTTCTTGAACCGCCGGTGGTTGAAAGCCGGCGACCGGACGTTCTTTGGGAGAGAGCATTTCACGTTATAGCAATTTTCACAGCTTAAATTTTAAGAAGTTATCTCAGTCATTTTGATTACATATGTAACTACTATAGCAATAAAATAAAGAAAAAAATAAAAAATAAAAAATACATAGCACCATGCCATTTAAACCTGACGTTATTTCTGTATGCTAATGGTTGTTTTTTGATTCACAATGTAGTCGGCTCAAGCAACTTTAAAATGAAAACAACTCTACTGTAGTAATTAAAGCTTGTGGCTCTCTTATTTGATGTTTCTGAACAACTAATATATATATATATATATATATATATATATATATATATATATATATATATATATATATATATATATATATAGATTTTGAATCTGGTGCACCCCCCTTAGTTAGATGTGTTTGTGAGCCTTAATCCTAGTCGTTTGATTTCATCTTTTAACGGTGCAGATTTTATCCTTTGTATAGTCAAGTGCCTAATTTTTTTATTAAGTTTGGGGTTAGTTTTGTCTTTTGGGACAGTATTAATTATGTTAAGTCATTAATGCGCGTGGTTTTGGGTCTTGTCCAGAGTTAAATTAGGACTCTTGCTTGTTCTTTCTCTTTGCAACGTTTCATTAGGTCTTGTGTGTGTGTCCTCTGTCTGAACGTCGTCTCTGCTTCTTCGATTACCTTCATATTCATTCGCGTGATTTTGGGCTTCTAGGCTCTGTGGTCGATTTTGCGGTGCTTGGATCGTTGTTGTTCATGGCTGGGTCGAGCTCGAGGAGATCTAAGCGGCTTAGGGGGTGTGCGCCCGATCCCATTCCAGGTTTTAAAATTTTGTGTCCTCTTTTTTGGTTTGATCGTATGGTTTTTAATCTTTTTGCAGTTATCTTTTGTGTTTCTGGGTTGTATAGTAGTTTCGTGTCTGGTGTGGGCTTGTGGGTTATTGACTTGGGTTTTGTATGGGATTCTTGTTTGGGGGTTTTTCTACCAGTATGGGAGGGTTTGGGGCAGTTGTGATCAGTGGCGGGTGTTCTCTAGGGGGAATGGCGGCGGTGGGTATGTAAATTTTTGGGGTTTTTGCGGTGGCTTTTGGTGGCCGGAGTTTTGATGTTCATGGCTGGGGGTGGGGGTTGCGGTGTTGTTAATTTCTGGCCGGAGTTAGGGTTGCTCGTTTTTTTTTTTTTTTTTTGTTAATTTCTGGCAGTGCGGTGGTGCTATACTGCTTGTTTTTGCAGGTTCATTGTGTGGTGGATTGAAAAGTGTTTTTTTGTCCATGTGTGTTTTTGTCTTGTTGTTTGTTGCTGCTCCTGAAAAGGTAATTTGTTCTTTTATTAAACAATATACTGGGAGGTGGCTTTATTTTGTTTGTATGTGTATACACTGTATTTGGGTGGTGCGTAGTGCAATTTGTTTCTGTTTGTGGGCTGGTTTGTGCATACAGAGCCTGTAATTAGTGCATACTGCTAATTTGTGGAGGGGGGGGGGGGGGGTGGTCATGCTAGTGCTGTTTTAACGGGTCCGGGTTTGTTTTTGATTCATAATGGAGTTTTTATTTTTATTTTTTTTTCCAATGAGGTTGGATTTTTGCCAGTGATGTGGTTTAATTATTTTTTACAAGTATGCTATGTGCATAGGGGTTAGGAGGTGAATGCAGTATAGTATAAACATGTTGTAGCTTTAACTACTATGGGTTTGGTGGCAGTGCATGTAGGGTTGCCTCGTGTTCTATTGTGTTTTTTTTTTTGGTTCGTCTGTTGGTTGTTTTTGTTATATGCTTGGTTTTTTTCCTGTTGGGGTTTTTGTTTTTGGGGGGGGGGGGTGGGGGGTGGGTGGCACCTTTGCACTGTTTTTTGGGTGGTCTGTGCGTATATGTTTGCAGATTTGTGCAAGTTAGGGATAGTTGTTACCCTGTGCAAGTTAGGGTAAATTGTAGATGCTAATTGGCACTGTTTTTTTTTGGGTGGTTTGTGCGTTTATGTTTGCAGGTTTGTGCAATTTAGGGATAATTGTGGAAGGTTTGTGCATAGTACTACATCACCTTGTGCAAATTAGGGTGAATTGTAGATGCTAATTGGCACTAGTTTTTTTTGGGTGGTTTGTGCGTATATGTTTGCAGGTTTGTGCAAGTTAGAGATAAAGTGTTGTTGGAAATTGCTTCTGCTTATTTTTTTTTTCTTTTTTGGTTGGTGCGCACTGTTAGTGTGTTGGTGCGCCACTATTATTGTGTTGCTGCTAATGGGCACTACAGGTTTTTGGATTGCTTGTGTTGTTTTTGTTCCTTAGTTTTATGCATTATAATGTTTTTTTTTTTTTTGGTAAAAAGTCAGACATATCCACAGTATGGGGATGCAGTTTTGGGTTTGAGTATGTGTTTTTTATTTTTCGTTTTTTTTATTACTCTAAATACTTCTTGTCATTCCCAATTGATGTTCCGTTTGAGCCGGTTGTTGTTGTAGCCGTTGACGTGATCGTAGTCGTTTTGAGACTCAAATTTCGCTAGGTAGTATCCATGAACAAGGTCAATCAGGTCCAAGGAGGATTCAAGTTTCCAGAGTGTTTGCAGGCGCCGGAGAAGGAGGTTATAGCCTACTGGTCTCCCAAGAAGATGAATGATAAGAGTTTTGCGCCACGGGCGTCTTAGCCTCTTCTTTTCCTCTTTAGTCACCAAGATTCTTGGACAGTCAGGGTCATCGTTTTCGACTAGTTCATCATCATCTGAGACGTCCTCGTCCAGGGGAGAAGGTTCTGTACTCTTGCGGCTCAAGAAATCCGTCAGACTCTGCCTATAGCTACCCGGCAATGGCATAGTGATATTACCATTGGGCTGTTCCATCGGCGCGTCCAGTGGTGTTTCCGGAACGAAGTCCGGCAAGGTGTCAACGGCGATAAGGTCTGGTAGTCGATCATCACGTTTGGTCTTTTTCGGATTGCGTTCAAGGACTTCTTGAACCGCCGGTGGTTGAAAGCCGGCGACCGGACGTTCTTTGGGAGAGAGCATTTCACGTTATAGCAATTTTCACAGCTTAAATTTTAAGAAGTTATCTCAGTCATTTTGATTACATATGTAACTACTATAGCAATAAAATAAAGAAAAAAATAAAAAATAAAAAATACATAGCACCATGCCATTTAAACCTGACGTTATTTCTGTATGCTAATGGTTGTTTTTTGATTCACAATGTAGTCGGCTCAAGCAACTTTAAAATGAAAACAACTCTACTGTAGTAATTAAAGCTTGTGGCTCTCTTATTTGATGTTTCTGAACAACTAATATATATATATATATATATATATATATATATATATATATATATATATATATATATATTATTTTAGTATTATTTTTGGTCCAAATTTCTATCCTAAAAGACAAAAGAAACAAATATTAAGTTTTGTTTGATTGTGTCTTTTTCACAGGCCTTGCGGCAAAGTTGGCATTTGGCAACATGTGCGCAATTTTCGTGAATAAAAAAGGCTAAGACATCAGCTAAGACATCTTCATGCAGCAAAATAATAGGGAAAATGAATGGTGGAAGATGATTCGTGACATGTATAAATAGTGGCAAAATTTTCTTTGTTAAATCGTTCATTTTTTTCCCTCTAGATTATTCTTTAAAGTTTTTATCAATGTCCATTCGTGGCTAATTTCTTTAGCTTGATTTAGTGAATTGAAGTTCCCGAATTGATTATGCTCTAAGATTATTTATTTATTTTTATTATATAATTTTTATGCATTTGAGTATTAAATATTCTTTTAAATTATTTGAATAGTTATATCACTTAACTGCTAGGGAGGCTTACTAGTTATTTATTTGATATAATTATTTGCTATATTAGTTAATGTTGTGCTACAAATTATTCTAATATTCAGTAGCAACTGGGGTTAATTATTGACGGCTTAGTGATAATTGGTCTCGGATAGAATATTTTCCTAAATTAAATGCAACCGCTTGTGCTTGTGTTATTTAGTTTGTCGGTTTTCCTAGTTCCTATTGTTGCTATTAAATTAAATCTATAGCGCTTGTCTTAGATTATTTAGTAGTTAGGGGTAATTAAACCGCGTGTGCTTTAGTTACCTATAAATAAGGGAAAACGGAAATGAAATAATTTCACGACAAATATTCAACTGCATATTAATTACTTTATGAATCAATAATCAATGTTAAATTCCAGTGGTGGATCTTTACTAACCAAGGTTTTCTATAATAAGTGCTTTCAATATATTATTTTCATTGTTTTATTCGTTCATTAAAATTTCTTGTTTATTTAAATTGTCTTTTTTAATCTTTATTCTCGTTATATTCTAAATCCCCCATCATTTCTTTAAACACAAAAGTTAAACTAGTTACTCCTCGTGGGATCGATCCTTACTCCCGCTACTACGTTTGTAAGGTTTTAATTTGGGAGCCCACGACAGCTCGCCAAATTTTGATAGTATATATATATATAATGCGTATTACATTATAAATATATATATATATATATATATATATATATATATATATATATATATTAAATCTAAACTTTGTAATTGATTTTGCTTTGTACAGGTGTGCGCCAAAATTAAAGGAAGCTTTGTCCAATGGGGTGCGCAGATTATGGCGAGGCAGCAGCAGAAAATTACAACATATGGCGCAAAGATAGGGAGTGAATGGTAGAAAATAGATTAAGCCTATTTGGAGAATACTATAAATAGAATAAGCTTTCTATGGTAAAATGTTCATTCTTTCCCCCTCTAGATTATTCTTTAAAGTTGTTATTAATGTCCATTCGTGGTTAATTTTTTTAGCTTGGTTTAGTGAATTGAAGTCCTGGAATTGATTATGCTGTAAAAATAAATAAATAATCTTACAACATAATTAATTCCGGGACTTCAATTCACTAAACCAAGCTAAAGAAATTAGCCACGAATGGACATTGATAACAACTTTAAAGAATAATCTAGATGGAGAAAGAATATACAATAGAAAGCTTATTCTATTTATAGTATTTTCAAAAATAGGCTTAATCTATTTTCTACCATTCACTCCCTA